AAGTCACCAGTAGTAATGCATTCATTTTGCATTCAGAAATGGGAATGTAGTATCCCAAACAATCATCTACCCACTCCTATTTATTTTCTCTTTTTGCGTGTGTGTGAATAGCTTGAAGAAAATTATACAAAGGTAGTGGAGGCTATTTTTTTTTGCTAGGTGCTATAATGAACACATTGAAAACAAGGTAGCATTACACAAAGCAGCAAAATAGTTTGTGTTTTAATGGTAAATCGTAAGGTCTAGATGATTCACAGAAATAGATAACTAAATTTATAAAGAATTAAATACAGAAAGGAAGAAAAAGGAACCTGAATCTCAAGACTAGGAAGAACTACACACTTATTACAAGTATAAATTTTTCTACTTAAGAGAGGCTACAGAAGAATACTTTCATTTCCATGTTTCAAGGGAAAATTATTTGTATTTTTCTAATACAGAGCAGTCTGTCTGTCAGAATGAATTGATCTGTACAGAGTTAAACACAAAAACCTTTTACACACAAATAAGGGAGGAAAGACTGTCCTTTGGTTTATTCTATGGACCTAAAAAACTGACATTGCTGCCTGAAAGTACAAAGGAAAATGTAATTATTTCTATATATAGTCTAGTCATTTCTCCAAGCAATTGGAGAAATGGAACAGACTTGAGCCTACCTTTAATGCATTTAAAATATTTATATCCTGTTTTGGGGAATAAAGCTATCCCAAAGCAGCTTACACCAGAGTAAAATCTCAATTATACCAACAATTTAAAATATCATCAACATGCACTCATCCTTACAACTATTAAACATCTAAAACATTCACACCACAATCAGTACTCAGCAATCAAGAAGAATGCAAAAGCAAAAGAACCATTTTTTAAAAAATCAGCAGAAACCAAAAAGCCACAGCAGTACAGATAACAAAGAAAATCCTGACATAATAATCCAAGCTAAAAAGTAATCAACAAGACCAAGAATATGTGAGAAAATCTTTAAGCTATTATCCTGAAAATCAGGAGGGAATAGCACCAGATGTGTTTCATGTGGGAGGCATTTCCAGTCTCACAATTTTACAGTGCTTTGAGGGAAACACCCTACCTCGGAGTGGCAAAGGTCTTACACCTGCTATGTATCAGTAAGTGACAGCTGAATTCTATGGAGCAGTTTAACTGTGGTGAAGACAGGGACCTGCATGACTACAGCTGAAGTGGCCTTAGCAAACGGGGCAGATCTAGTTGGCCAGAACATACTTAGAGCCAGTTTGGTGTAGTGGTTAGGAGTGCGGACTCTAATCTGGGAGAACCGGGTTTGATTCCCCACTTCTCCACTTGCACCTGCTGGATGACCTTGGGCAAGCCATAGTTCTGTCAGAACTGTTCTCTCATGAGCAGTTATTGAAAGAGCTCTCTCAGCCCCACCTACCTCACAGGGTATCTGTTGTGGGGATGGGAAGGGAAAGGACTTTGTAAGCTGCTTTGAGACTCCGAGTGAAGGGTGTGGTATATATCCAATCTCTTCTTCTTTGTCTTCTTCTTAGGTTGTGGCTGCAGTGACAAAATGTTCCATGGGATGACAAACCAGAGGACAGCACAGGACTGTGCAGTGCTTCACAGAGGCCAGGAATGAGAAGTGTCGTTATATGTGTAGGACTGCACACAGTGCCTAAGTGAGAGAATGAATTGCCCCCTCACATTAATGCTACTCTCAAACCCTGAAAACTGGACAGTGTTGCTAGAAAGCTATATTTGTTGGTCCAGTCTAGAAAACATTTAGGCCACATACACTGATAATGCAATCCTATGCAGTTATTCCACTCTAAGCTTTCAATGGGCTTAGACTGGAGTAACTCTGCATAGGATTGTACTGTGAGAGGCACAATGCTGCACTAGCCCTGTAGCTAGAGAGTTTGGGGGGAGGCACTGCCCCCATGTGTTGACATCACTTCTGGGTCCCAGGAGAGAGCGGTGGCTGAAGACAGTGCCCGCGGTTACTAGCATTGCAACGGGGCTTGAAGGCCTGTTTGTGCATTTCTCTCTCTCTTTGCAGTCTCTAGAAAAGCTTCTTGCACCCATTTCTGCGGCTTAATGGTTCAAGGTGGCAGGGCCCCACTCTAGCCACTGACAGCCTTCCAGTCCCTCCCTTGCTGGAGGAGAGGTGAGACCCTCAAATGACCTCCCCTGGCATTCCAGGTGCCATCATGGGGGCATGACCGAAAGAACTGCAGCGCCACTAGCTTCTCCTGCGGCAGCCTTTAAGGCTAATGAGGCCCATTATATCAATCACTTGGCAGGGCATGGTCCTTTGAGCTGGAGTGCTGGCTAAAGCCTTCCCTGCCTCTGTGGCTGCCCTAGGCACCACGCACTGGAGGGCCTTGCTGGCTGAGGGAGTAGATGAGCCAAATGAAATTGCTGGGGCCCTTTGTCTCCGAGAGGGGGTGGGGGAGAAGCAAGGTCCCTGGAAGGCAGGAGGAAGACACTGGCTCGAGGGCTAAGGAGTCCCCAACTTCTGACCAAGCTTTGTTCGCCCTAACCCAGGGCAATGAGTTGCTCAGTGGGCAAGTTACTCATGTGGGAGGGCAGGTGGCACCAGGGAGGGAGCTGGGCATATTTGTGAGGGGGTGTTGCCCCATGGGCACTGTGGGCCTGTACTGCATTATGCATAGCCTTGTTGGAACCATGCAGAACACTTGATTGTGCCTAGTTGCTCATGAACTGGATGTTAGTGCCAAACACGCTTTCTGCATTCTACAGTGTAGTTCAGTGGAGATGGCTACAAGGTGTCACCTCAACTGGGTGGGGATATAGCATGCCAGAGGCTCAGAATCATAGAGAATTGCTGAGCTATAGGGATGGGCATGAACCGTCCCTCTGGGAGGGTTTATTTCACTGGGAGCCATTTAACCCTCCGGTTTTGCTCCCTGCCATTGAAAAGCTGGGGGGAACAAAACTGAGCCATTTAATCCTCTGGTTTTGCTCCTTGCCATTTCAAAGAGGGAGGGAACAAAACCAGAGGATTAAACATGGGGGTGAAGTGCCTCCCAGGGGGCAATTCATGACCTCCTGTCTGCCAGTCATGGCTTTTCCCAGCCAGCAAACAGTAAGGGGTGAAGTGCCTCCCAGTGGGCACTTCCCCCCTTCCTTTCTGCTGGCTGGGGATAGCCGTAGCCAGCAAACAGTAGGGGGGTGAAGTTCACCCTAGGAGGCACGTCATCCCTTCCTTTCTGCTGGCTGGGGAAAGTCAGTCAGAAGTCTCCCCACCAGCCCAAGACCGCCTGAAACAGCTGAGTGGGGAACGCCTCCCTGGCACTCAGCTGTTTTTGTGGCTTTTGCAGGGAACAGAAAGTAGGGGTTGTAAGAGACTTGGAGTCCCTTTAAACTCCTTTCTGCTCCATCCACAAACCACCAGAAAGCACTACAAACTGCTTTAAAAGTTTGTGGAAATTTGTGACACAATTTTGCTTCTTGGTTCAGATTTGTGCCCATCCCTACTTTGCTACATGCCCAACATAGATAACACAACTGAAAACACAATAGCTTGCATCCTGCCTAGTATGTTTATAGGCACAAGCACTCCCACAGAAGACCCAAAAAACTTCCAAAATGCAGGACCGTCATGAAAAGCTTGGAGGACATCAGAAATCTATCATCCTCCTTATGCCTTGTGACACAACTTTGCTTCTTGGTTCAGATTTGTGCCCATCCCTACTTTGCTACATGCCCAACATAGATAACACAACTGAAAACACAATAGCTTGCATCTTGCCTAGTATGTTTATAGGCACAAGTACTCCCACAGAAGACCCAAAAAACATCCAAAATGCAGGACCCTCATGAAAAGCTTGGAGGGCATCAGAAATCTATCATCCTCCTTATGCCTATGAAAAAAGTTCTAGGTGGAATCTAGAGTGCTAACTCTGATGTGGAGAACTGCCTACTTTGGCCCTATGGATCACAATATAGCCTTAGCTAAATCATTCTTCATCATCTTAAGCACAAGATTTCCATGATGAATGAAAGATCCTTGGAGGAAGTATGGGTTATAAACATGATAGCTAAATAATCCAGCAAGCAAAATGATGAACACAATGTCATCTTCTTGGCTACTTCTGCCTCCAAATAAGTCAACATGGAAGCCAGATCTTGCATCAGCATATTAAACTTCAGACCACCAGATACATCCATGTTTTATTCTTCCTACAGAATCATGTATACTTTATGTATGGGTACATGTAGTTCTATGTACAAAAGCAGTTTTGAAACATGACCACTGTGATTTTTCTAACGTGTATCTGGAAACTTTACATTAAACCCCCCATTTCCTGCCTGCTACATAAGTCACAGGAACACGAAACAGCTACATTCAGCATTGCCCTTCCATCCAAAAAATAACTGTATCTTAAATAATTTATTGCAAGTATCTACCTGAACTGTTATTGCAACAGAACTTTGAGTGACTAGTAAGTCAACAGTCTTTGACTACTGAGTTGAAATGAATAAACACAGAGTCCAGAGATTTCTTGGGATAAATACACTGATATTTGATAAAACACTGCTGTCTTCATTGATCTTTTTCTTTATATTGTAAATGCTCTGTGCAGTACAGTTTTGAGCTATAATAATTCTGCAGTTTGACTATGTTGTAATAACTCAGAACATAATCCGAAATGAACCACAAACTTTATCAATATTAGATTAGAGAAACAGAACATCAAAAACAAAAACAAAAAATCAGATTGCTTTCTGTAAAGAAGGAACAGATTAATGGCACTGCAATACAATTATTCAATTCCCAAAGGAGGAGGCTGCGTTATCTTCCATGTAGAAAACATTTACTCGCCCACTGCAACAGTGTTCTCATGAATGTACTAATATTAATGCAATGCTTTTATAGTAGATCTTGTCATACTGTTGAAATGATAACAGAAAAAACAGGAGACCACTTTCCTAACAAAGTGAACTAATGTGGAGCAGTGATCACATTCAAAAAGTCAACTCAGTTGCTTGTACAGACTTACCTAAGGTTAGAGATTTGTGAGTGGAGCAGAAAATAATAGCCACTGTGTCTGCTGGAGTGAAACCAGAGTTCTGCCTAGAAAAGACACAAAGAACATTCAAAGTCTCTTCCACCAAATGTTGGCTTACTAATAAAACGTACTGCTTTATGGACTCCCTGAGTTTGCTTTAATCACTTTGATCAGCTTTCATGACAAACAATTCCACTCACATATGCTCAGCAGATTTTGATTCTTCTTTCCAATAGCATTGTTTCTCAATTGTGACAGTCTTTCCTGCATGAGTTCTTATTTGGAAAACGAGAAGTTTGAAACATATCTTCATGGAGCATGAGTTTATTCCAGCTCATTTTTTACGAATGCAAAACACCAGGTACGTTGATTAATGCTTGTAACACTGTGGAGCCCAGTTGCAGCGTTATCTTCTGGAATGCTGCCTGGCAAGCAACTGTTTGCAAACCCCCATTTAAGCGGTAGTTGACTGACCTGGCATCTGGGGCATCAAAACTGTGTAGAGAAATGAAAGGCAGAGCTGGGGCTGCACCGTATACACTGGCTACACTTCCTCTGGCTCTCACATATACAGGAATACCTGCACTGGCACCCATGCACAGTTCAAAGCACACTAATGTTTTCCAGTATGGTCATGGACACACGCAAGGCTCAGAAGGGTCCAGAGGAAACTGTGTGCCGGGGCCAGACTTCAGAACCAGTCCAATGAGAAGTTTTTAAAAAGTCTCTAATCTTCCAAACAGTAAATATCCTCAAATACAATTAAGTGTTGACATTAGTATAAATATCTGCTTGGTTTCTTTGTCGTGTTGGTATATGATATGTAAGATCAGAATCAACAAAACAAACTGTATAATTATTTGTTTGTTTTATTTACATTTATTAGCTGCCTTTCTTCCATACAAGTCCTATTATAATTATTTGTTTGTTTTATTTACGTTTATTAGCTGCCTTTCTTCCATATAGCGCTCAAGGCAGCTTACAGTATTAATAAAATACACAGATTACATAAAAAACATAAAACTCAAATTTAAAATCTCACTTTAGGATGGCTTTAATCAAATGCAATCCTAAAAAAACCATCTTCAGCTGTCTTCTGAAAACTGAAAGCGAGGGGACCAAACCTATCTCCCTGGGGAGGTTTTTTCATAATCATGTAGAATAATCTCAGAATTAGAATAATTGAATTAGAACACAATAGGCAAGAGCGCAAAACCAGAAGCAGTTTATTATGCATTCTTTTAAGTTGGCCATTGGGAGTTATAAATTATGGTCCGCACAGGAACAAGAACTTAAAGGAGTTAGCTAATAACTTCCCAGGTGGGTGGGTGGGGGGTTTCCAACACTTCATGACATTTTAGCAGTAGATTTGCCTAAGGAAGTCATACATTCATTACATCATAAAAGATTTAAGGTTTGTTTTAAAAAGGTTGCATTGTAGAATGCTACGGTAACAGGATAGATCAGTTATTCTTAATGGGGGTCCCCCATTAAGTACATTGCCCCCCCCCAAGGCAATGTACAAGTCTTTGGAAAAATTCACATGGCGGGGGGGAGCTGAGATTTGAGGTAACTCCTAATGGAGGTTTGCTGTGTGACCCTGGGCCAGTCACATACTAACCTACCTATGTAAGTCAATACATACCCAATATAAGCCTCTCTGGGGTGAAAGGTGGGGTACAAATGAAATCAGTAAATAAATACATCATTTTATTTCCTGACTTATTTATTGAACTCTTTTCTAGTTGCATGGTAAATACTTTTTTCACTGTTCTGCCTCCTCTCAGTTGTTATCTCTCCCGTAGCAGGGGACAAGATCTGCAGCCAGATAAAGAAAACTTCTGCTGATCTTATACGAAGGAGAAGCCGGGGCCCAGAATCACCATGGGTCCTGTTTGTAGCTCTGCGGGGAGGGCAAACAGGGTGATGGCAGCCCCAGCAGCTCTCGCTGGCTGGGCGGGGAGAGGGTCAGGCTGCAATAAGCATGGGAAGCTTGGGCCTGCCCTGGCCTGCTGCCAAGGCTATCCCAGAGGCCAGTGAGGGCTGGGGGTGGGGGTAACCAAAATGGTCATTTAAGATGCTGTGCTGCCCTGGGTCGCCCTCTTTGCTGTGTGGATTTCTGCCCACCCACCCCTCCCAATTTTCTTGTTACCACTGTCCATGGGGGATATCATGCACGGTTTATCCTCCAGTTAATTGTTATGCTTATCACAATAGGGCAGTATTAGCATTTTCTCAGGAAAGCCTGCCTGTGTGCCCATTTTCCTGAGTTTGGGGATCCCCTTAAGGGATCTTGGGCTGAGGGTTTCGAGGGGCGTACTCAGCTTGGCAGCTGCCAGGGTTTACCCTCACACTCACTCAGCAACTGTCGGGGGCTACCCAGTTGATCAGGTGGCAGGGGAGACAACTTAGTGGTGATCGTCTTTGCAGGATCCAGCATCCCATGGTTACCACAACACCAACCAGTGTGATGGGGTGGGCAGGAGATCATTGACTGCCAGGTGGGTCAGTCAATGTCCAGGAAACAGTTCCCCCATGCGGTGCCAAGGCTTCTTACAACTGTAACCGATAAAGCTGTGGCCAATTTATTCCAAGGTGGGTTGTGTGTGTTTTATTCTAACCTGGGTTGTAAATGGGGTGAATGGAGCATGGGGTATAAGGGAACCCCCCTTCACCTTTCGGTCCCCTTTCACACACCCTCCCCTTGGTGCTGGGGCTGCAAGTAGTGCAAGAGATCTTCTGCAAACCCACAACTGTTGCTTTTTGCAAGCTTCAGTGTCTGCGGGAAACTACAACTAACCACCAGGCACAAATTTTGAGAGCTCCATTTAAACCACGGAACAGACTACCCCCCCTCCCACACACTTTGCTCCCCCACACTTCTGTTCAAATACATAGAGCATTTCTATTGTGGTTACGTACCTTGTAGAAAAAAAGAACGTTAACAGCATGAAGCCCAACTGAATCGAAAATACTGAAAGAAACATTAGTTTGAAAAGGATTAAATTAATGTGCAATGTATGAAGGCACCTACAAATATGTATTTTAAATGCACATCCATTTCTCAATTGGAAATAAAATGTTTATTTTGTGATGAATCAAGAATGACACAAACGTGTACCTATGTTTCTGAGGCAAGTAACAGATTAGGCAGCTGACGTTCCTAACCACATAACCATAGTACAAAACAATTGTCATACCTCTGAAACATTATAAAATACTGATTTTCTCTTGTGGGGAGTGGGAAATCAGTTTGTGTTTCATAGATTACAGCAAAGCTTTTGACTGTGTTGATCAGGAAAAGTTATGGTTGATTTTAAAAGAAATGGGTATGCCGCAACATCTGAGTGCAACTATATACTATGGACAAGAGGCTACTGTTAGGACACGATATGGAGCAATGGAATGGTTTCCAATTGGCAGCAAAACTGACTAAACTGACTATATTGTACTTTGGTCACATTATGAGAAGACAAGAGTCACTGGGAAAAACAGTAATACTAGGAAAAGTTGAAGGCATCAGAAAAAGAGGAAGACCCAACATGGGATTGGTTGACTCAATAAAGAAAGTTATGTCCCTCAGTTTACAAAACTTGAGCAAGGCTGTTAATGATAGGATATTTTGGAGGTCATTATTTCATAGGGTCACCATATAGCAGAAGTGACTTAACAGCACTTCACACACACACACACACACACACACACACACAAAGGGAAAATAATTACATAGGAGTTAGAAGTAGCTCTCACATTGAAAAAAGGAAACTGAAGGAAATAAGAGCATAAACATTAAATTATTTTCTTGTATGTACTTTATATGGGAGCTGCGGTGGCTCAAGTGGTTAAGACGCAAATAATTACATAGGAATTAGAAGTAGCTCTCAGATTGAAAAAAGGAAACTGAAGGAAATAAGAGCATAAACATTAAATTATTTTCTTGTATGTACTTTATATGGGAGCTGCGGTGGCTCAAGTGGTTAAGACGCTGAACTGCAGGCTGTGGAAGGTCAGTAGTTCAGCAGTTCGAGACCCGAGTGTGCTGCATGACGGAGTGAGCTCCCGTCTCAAGTTCCAGCTCCTGCCAACCTAGCAGTTCCGGCCACATGACCACCGAAATGTCTTCGGACAGCGCTGGCTCTTCGGCTTGGAAACGGAGATGAGCACCGCAACCCTACAGTCAGATTCGACTGGCTTTTGAGCAAGGGAACCTTTACCTTTCTTACTTTATATGACTATAAAAGGTAAAGGTTCCCTTGCTCGAAAGCCAATTGAATCCGACTCTAGGGTTGCGGTGCTCATCTCCGTTTCAAAGCCAAAGAGCCAGCGCTGTCCGAAGACATTTCCGTGGTCATGTGGCCGGCATGACTAAACACCAAGGCGCATGGAACGCTGTTACCTTCCCACTGAAGTGGTACCTATTTATCTACTTGCAATTTCTTGCTTTCGAACTGCTAGGTTGGCAGGAGCTGGAACTAGAGATGGGAGCTCACTCCGTCATGCGGCACTCGGGTCTCAAACTGCTGAACTACTGACCTTCCACAGCCTGCAGTTCAGTGTCTTAATCACTTGAGCCACCGCAGCTCCTGTATATGACTATACTATGATGATTAATAGAAAAGGGATAACAGACAGTTTGGTTGTATTTTAAAGTGTTAATAGGTATTTAATTTGGGGGAGGGGGAAGGCTATTGAAACCATCATACAGTTGGGGCTGGTGTGGTGCACTCATTAAAAATACACTTAACACCTTCCTATTAACCATTAAATAAAACTACCTGAACATAAAACTAAATGGGAATTTGTTCAAGGGAACTGTTCCTTTCATCTGACAGAAAGGTGATATGCATGGAAGTTCATGCAATGTCACCTACAAGGGCTCATCCAAAATACACATATTCCTTGGCCTAGTGGAAGGAAGAGGACTATTTAGGGAAATAGGAGGTACACACAAGACAGCCTGTGCATATCAAGGGGGCGGGGAGAAGGGAAAAAACAGACCTAAGGAGATCCTTTTGCATTTGGGTGAGATACCCAAGGTATACAAGGTAATTACAGGCAAAAGCCCAAATATTTGTGAAGAATAAAAACAGAAGACCACTTAGAGTCACCCTCACAAGCCACTGAGCTGGCAAAGAGGAATTAGGGTGGGCTGGGATTGCTTCATCTATACAACAGCAGGGGTATTGTTCTGGCTCATATTTCCCCTCGTTCCCTGAACATTCCATGTCATGTAATGTGTGTGAAGGGTTTGCACCCCCTTTCGTATTACAGGAAACAATGAAGAACCATCAGGTTATATACAGCATTATGCAAAGTAAACATTCTGACACTACTCTGAACATTATTTAAATTAACTATAGAACAGTAGTTTCCAAACTCCTAAAACTAAAATTAAACAAAAAAAGGCTGCAACCAAGTTAAAAAATTCACCTTCAGTTTGGAAATATACATTTTCATTAACTGAAGATGCTGGGGATTGAACCTGTGGGCCATGGCTCCCCCCCCCCTTGAATATATGAAGCTGCCTTATACTGAATCAGACCATCAGTCCATCAGAATCAGTCTTGTCTACTCAGACTGGCAGCGGCTCTCAGCCAGAGGTCTTTCCCATAAACATTTGCTCATCATTCATAAGCTCTGCTTTTCATACTTAACTCTCTCTTTTTTTGGTCTTTTCTGCTTCCAGGAATGAAAACCAAAATCAGGTAAAACTCCCACAAGTGACTTTTATTGATATTTCATCCACCTGTTTCTTCCCAACAAAATTCAAAAGACGTCACCCCAGCAGCAGCAGACATTTTAACATGTAGCTCTTTCACTTAAACCTGTTCCACAAATAGTTCACCAGTGGGAAACTGAGACTCTTGGCATTAGTAGTTGTTAAAGTCTCAACATCATGTGATCTGTATTGTCCACAGAGATAAGATGAAGTTTCAAAGCTGATCATACTCAGCTCTGCTGTTTCCTGGTTAGGGATGAAAGACTAACCAGAGCCAAACAGGATTTATGTTTTTTGCCGTATCAACCAGTGTAGGCTCTCAGCTGAGAAGGACACAGAAGGATACTTGCCTTCACCCCTCTGCATACACAGATCAAAACTGGCTTCCCAAGTTCTCCCCTCATTTCTATATTTGGATTCTTAGGAGGAAGGCCCTGAATATTCTGGTTATTTTTACAAACTTTTTTTACTGTTTTATATTTTTCACTTGTTTTGTCAGCTGCCATGAAAACCAGCTGTGATTGAGGGGCAGGATTGAAATATTTTAAACACACAAATCTAGCTGAGCATTAGCATAACAAATCAACATAGGAAAACTGTTCCTGAGAACAAGTAGGATTGTTCTTCAAAGAATATATAATTTCTAAAAGGAACATATATCTTAATACAATCTATTCTGTTGAGGCTTTATCTATTGAATCTTAGTTTCATCATAAGAAAATAAAGTGCTATTTCATATCCCTAAAATCTATCTCAAGTATCAAATTGTACTGTGTTGCTATTGCACACGACACAGGGAGATTCACAGGGTTGGATCCAACCAGCATTTCCAATGGTGAAAAAGAGAGGGGGTGTCCCCTTCAATCACCCAAATAGGCTATGTTAGGGATTGTGAGATCTGCATGACCAAAAGCCACATGGGATGAGGACATAGCAGACAGGAGAACTGAATGAGATTGAACAAAACAGGTGATTGGATCCAAACCACGGTATAACTGTGGAAAGACACGATGAATCCAAAACTCTTGCCCAGAAGCACATCACTTCCTTAGCTCAGGACTCAGCAATTAAAGTAGATAACTAAAAACACATTGGTACTTACTTATGAAAACTATGATAATCAGGCTAAACTTATCAAGGTCAATATTTGGATTGGAGAAAGTATCACAGAATGTTGTGTAGATGATCATCAGGAGCACGCAGCTGCTGATAGCACCAAATGGAGGCTTCTTCCTCTCAAGCCATTCCTTGATGTATCTTCGGACAATCTGAAACACATGACGAAAAAAAAATCAACAGGTTGCCTCTTTTCAACATACCCAGGGAGCCAAGTTGGGCATCACAAAATGAATCTGACAGCGGAAAGACATAAAGAGAAGAGAATAATTTGGATGACGGCCACAGTGGATTTCAAAGCTTCCCTGCCACGTAACTCTTCTTCTGGGGAATTTAACATTTGTAGTGCAACTTCCACTGGGCGTCCATAATGAGAGTATATTTTCAAGTACATTCAAATCTATCCTTAATCATGCCAAATGTTCTTTGCTAGCTGTCACTGAGACATGCCCATTAAGCCTCCCCAAAGTTTTTCTCCTTTGCTGATACTAATGGATGTATGTAATTATCACAGTCCCCTTTGCATCAACAGACAATTCCAAGTGTAACTTTGGGAATCTTAAAAATCTGACATCTTCAGGAATTTCATGTGAGCAGATAATCGAAAGTGATCCATGAAACATTTAAATATTTAAATAGCTAGCGATGCACCAGAAGTTTTTAATTAAATTATAACTCATGCTTGAAAAGCAAAAGTGCATGTGTTGTGGGAGTTTAAATAATTCAGAGTCTGAAGATCTAGAGGGTTTTTTTTGTAAATCCAAAGACAAATGCCAGTTGCATGTATTCAGAACACCAGAACTGACACAAGGAGGGGATGAATAAGCCTACAATGCTTAGTGCAACTTTTTCAAATTCTGGAATTTGAAAACAAACTTGTTTAATCAATTTCCCCCTTCTTTTAAGAGTGAATGTAAATATAACATCAGTGTTCTTTCAAAAAGACAGGACAGATCCTTATAACATTTAGAGGCTTTTAACACCTACTATATTTGAACCATTTATATGGGTTGATCAATTAGGATACTGCTTTGCTACACTGTGGCTTCCAGAAGGCAGTGCTAGGAGACTGTTTCTCATCTCTGTGGGACTACTGCTTTGCAGTGGCTCTATTCCTACACTGTGGCTTCCAGGAGGCAGTGCTAGGAGACTGTTTCTCATCTCTGTGGGAGATTATCCTGCAGGGTTCTGCAGGTACTTTTAAAATCTCCTATCTTGTTTAACATCTTCATAAAACTGCTGGATGAGGAGATTTGGGGGTCTGAAATGTGGTATGTCTCCAGTATGATGATGACATTCAGATTTCTCTCTCTCTCTTGTCGGCATCATGTGCAATGAGGTACGTCCTCCTCCATGAATGCCTGCCTGAAGTCAGTAATGGGTTAGATGAGGATGGATAAACTGAAGCTTAATTCAACAAAGGGGAGATGCTGATGGCATGCAGCCCCATTGGATCCGTGCATATGGTTGGCAACAAGTCTGCAGGAAAGGGTCCAGTCTCATCAACAAAGCCTCAGTATTTGGAAACGGGCAGCTGAAGCTTTTCATGGCATCGTCCTGGTAAATAACATCACGTTAAGCCTCTATAAAAAAAAGAACACGGCACTTTTTCATTTGACATCTGTATCTTGGGAACATGCCTCTTCTTAATGGGATCACACTCCCCCGAGGTAGCAGATTCACAGCTTGAAAGTTCCTTCAGCTCCTGCTGATTCACCAACAGCAGGCCTTTTGGGAGGCAAATATGAGGCACCATATATGGAGCTTCCCTTGAAGACAGTTTAGAATCAGCAAGTGCAGGATGCTGCCTTTTACTATCTGGAGTTGTTAATAGGTCATGTGTTACACTAATTTTTAATAATCTATACAAGTTACCAAAAATTTCCTGGCTAAACTCAAAGTGACTTTTAATAACCCAACTAACCTGAATCTAGGATACTTTAGGGAATGCTCAGCATTTTTCAGTATTCAGTAGCACTAGTGTTATGGAGCTCATTCCTGACTGAGTAACATCTGTCAGGCCCACTTTACTGAAATCTGTAGACATGAGGTTAAAACCTTTCTTTTCCACCAAGTGTACTGATCCTGTAGTTGCCATTCTTTTTAAACGTATTAACTTTTAGTATAATTTTTTTTAAAATATGTGCATGTGTGTGTGTGCATGTGAGTCTGTGTGCACCTGGAAGTCATGGCGACCTCTGGTGACCAACCCCTACTGGGGGCCTGGAGGATATTCAGAGAGGCGGCTGAATAAAGCCTGCCCCTACCTCCTGCCTCTGGTATTTCAAGGAGGTCTCCCAACCAAGTACTTGCCAGAGTCGACTTTGCTTAGCTTTGGAGATCTGACGAGATTGGCTTGCCTGGGCTACCCAGGTCAGGGCGACTTTTAGTATAACATTTTGTTGATTGACATTTACCATAACATGATTTAAGGTTGAAGTTTGAGTGTAGTGGCATCTTTAAGACCAACAAGGTTTTATTCAAGGTATACGCTTTCGTGTGCACGCACACTTCTTCAGATACAATTAAATGGAAATTACTAGTCCATACATATAGGTAGAGGGTGAGCAGTAAATTAGCATACAGTATAATGAAGATGTTTAACAGATTCAAGGACCAAAGGTATGGACTGGTAATCTCCATTTCATTGTATCTGAAGAAGTATGCATGCACACGAAAACTTATACCTTGAATAAAACTTTGTTGGTCTTAAAGGTGCCCCACTGGACTCCAACTTTGTTCTGTTGCTTCAGACCAACACGGCTACCCACCTGAATCTATGATTTAAGGTTGTTTATTATTTTCTTGTAAGCTGTTTTAGGGGCCTTAAAGGCGACAAACATGGCATACAATTTAAATGCAAATAAATCAATTTACCCGAAAAAAATTGATACATTATAATGTTTTATGTTTTAAAGGGTGTATTAGACATGAAGGACATTACACAAGCCGTGACAAGCATTAATTTTTCAGCCATTACATTGCAAGATGACTCAGGAGATGCCCCAACAGATCGTATTACTGTAGTGTTTCAGAAGGAACATTGCAAGCTCACGCTGAAGGTTAACTTGAGGGTGGCCAGAGGTGTCATGAAACCTCCAAATAACAATACTATTAATGACAAACCTTCAACATGAGAGAGATTCAGAAAGTACCATCTTAGACTGCATACATGAAGAACAAAATCAAAGCAGCCCTATAACATTTTGAAAAACGAATGTACTGTTCAAAGTTCACACACAACAGATGCATAAAATTTCTCTTAGCAGAGACATATTGTAGAAAGTTAACTACTTAGAGACTGTAGGGAGGTTCTGTGGCTAAGGGCCATTTGTAACACATTTGGGTGCTGCTGTCCCTGGGAAAACTGGTACAAGTACTCTGTTAGACTACAGTGTTAGAGGGCCACTTAATTAATTGCATTTCTCTCCCGGCACAGAAGTCACAAAGTGTGTCACAGCATATATGTAAATAAATTATTAACCCCCATAAAAGAAGAAACTTCTTAAAGCAGCCACACTTACTTTCTCCAAATTCTCCAGTTCCAAGCTCATGAAATGCAACAATAAAAGAAAAGGTTTCTTTGAAATGGTCTCCATAGCCTCACCACTTCTTCAGCCCCTCCAACATTAAAATGAACAGTTGCTGGTCAAATGCTACAGAAATCCTTCAGGTTTATGTCAGGTGGTATCAGAACAAGATCCACGGGAAAGCATTTAGATTTACAAGTGGACATTCAGACACATTTACAGCCTGATGAAATATCAAGGCATAAGCTTTCCTTGATCTCAGTAGTTTTTTGAAGCCATAACATGTCCAGCAGAAAAGTTGCTCTTTTCTGTCACCTAATAGTTCACAGCACATAAATTGAAACAAACAGCAGCAGGATCATAGGGATGGCATGACACTTTGGGCTGAACTGACATTGGCTTTTTAAATTGAAGGCAAGTTCTTAAAAACCTGCTTATCTGCTTTAGGGGCGTGCACACAAAAAAAAGGTCGGGATTTTTCTGATTTGGATATATTGGACCCAAAAAAATTTGGGATTCCCAAAAAACCCTGAATTCTAATACCAGTATGGTATTCTGATTTTTTTGGAAATCCCATTTTTTGTTTTGCTCCATTATACCCTATGGGACCATTATAGTCAAAGGGGAATCTATCTGGGTATTGTTTATGGTAGAGGGACCAAAATTTCAGCATAGCTTCTGGTGCCTCTCCTCAAAATACACCCCCCCAAGTTTCAAAAAGACTGGACCAGGGGGTCCAATTCTATGGGCCCCCAAAGAAGGTGTCCCATCCTCCATTGCTTCCAATGATGGGAAAAAACTGCAAGCCCAACAGAACCAGTGCATGTAGAGTGCTCGGCAGAAGCAGTGCATATAACAAAGTGTCCGGCAAAAACAGTTCCACAGTTCAACAGATACAAGCAGAGGAGGGTGCAAGCACAGCACAGATAGTGCATGTACAGAGTGCCAGCAGAACCAGTGCATGTACAGAGTGCCCAGCAAAACCAGTGCATGTACAGAGCGCCCAAAGAATGTGCTCCCATTGATTTTATCCAATGGCAGATTTTAAGCCTCTGCAGTTAAGACGTGACCTAGATAGCAGTTCGAGACCCGAGTTGCCGCATGATGGAATGAGCTCCCGTCTCTAATTCCAGCTCCTGCTGACCGAGCAGTTCGAAAGCAAGAAATTGCAAGTAGATAAACAGGTACCACTTCAGTGGGAAGGTAACAGCGTTCCGTGCGCCTTGGTGTTTAGTCATGCCGGCCACATGACCACGGAAAGGTCTTCGGACAGCGCTGGCTCTTCGGCTTTGAAACAGAGATGAGCACCGCAACCCTAGAGTCGGATTCTAGCAAGGGAACCTTTACCTTTACCTAGATAGCCCAGGCTAGCCCAATCTCATAAGATCTCCAAAGCTAAGCAGAGTCAGCCCTGCTCAGTATTTGGATGGGAGACCACCAAGGAATACCAGAGTCATGACACAGAGGCAGGCAATGACAAATTACCTCTGGATGTCTCTTGCATTGAAAAACCCACAGGATCACCATAAGTCAGCTGGGACCTGACAGCAAGACACACCCTGGAGTCAGGGGAAGAAGCCGTACCATCTCCAAGCTTGTCTTAGCAAACTTTCAATCCCCAG